GAAAGATAATACACTTAATTTCTGATTTAGGAAATTGTTTTAAAGTGATTTTTTAAAAACAATAATCAAATGTAGCGACATGAAGCCTTAACCCAGCAACTTTATCTTCTGTGTCTCACTGTGGCTTGTGCTGGATAAAGGGAGAGATTGCATTTAAATGAACACAGCTGACCTTCAGAAGTTGAAAGGAAAGGAACAGTTCAAGGGGGGGGAAAAACCCTAACTTTCTTCTTCTGCCAAAATTGTTGTTTCCAGTATAAGTTCTTTTAACCCCAGACTTGGAATCCATTGATATCCCTATTTTTTCGTGTCAGATCTGAAAGTTTATGGCTTCATTTAGAGACTGGGAAAAGCACCGAAGGTCTGTTCTAATGATCCCATGTCTCTGCTCAATGAGGCCTATTTATATATTTACGTTTAACGTAGGTCCGTTCATACTCAAATTTGTATCTAGTATCTTAAAATAAAAAAGGAGAATGCCATATTGTCTAACGGATATAAAAATCGAAGTTTCTTTCCTTTTGAAAATCATTACCATATGCTCGAGAAAAATGGTTCCATTTAGGACGAAATTTCATTTTTATCATTGTAAGCAGAAAGTTCTTTTTGATGTGGTGGGCGTGTTTGTTTCCAGTTGTGTGGTTCATGCTGATGTTGTTGGAACTGACACATCCCCCTTCTGCGATGGGGACTCTTTCTCTTGCCAACCCTGGTGATGAATTATAGTGGGGTTTTGTTTTGTGTGTGTCTTTTAAAATGTGTAGTTGCCAACATTCCGTGGGCTCCTTTCTGATAACACTGAGGCTGTTTGTGCCGTGGTCTGCACTTTTCGCCCTCCTCTCTGCAAAACCACACGCCATGGAATAGTCGTTGGCTTCTGGACGTGTGAGCAGAACCTCCCCGAAGTGCCAGCCTTGTTGAGGCAGTTGAGACCCAGAAGTTCCCAGTTTGGAAATCTTTTCCCAGCTTCAGAGCGCTGGCCAGCCAGTGCTTCCTTCCTGTAAAGAGCCAGAGAGTAAATGTTTTCAGCTCCGTGGGCTGCACGGCCTCTGTCACAGCTCTGCCATTGTAGCACAAAAGCAGCCGCAGGCAACATGTAAATCAGTGTGTGTCTGTGTTCTAGTAAAACTTTATGGACCCTGAAATTGGAATTTGATATGAATTTTGTATCATTTTAATACCATAAGATATTCTTCCTCTTTTAATTTTTTTCAACCATTTACACATGTTAAAAACCACGTGTAGCCCCTGGGCCGTACAAAAACAGCCTGTGGGCTCTCACCCTGCCTGACCTGAGTCGGGGGAAGTATTAGCCTGGGGTGATCCCGTGGCGGTGGCTCGTTGGCAGCGACACCAACACATGCTTTGGGGGGCAGAAAAGACCTTCCGAATTTCAAACCTTCAAAACTTTGAAACTTAACCTCTATTTTCCTAAACTTTCCTTTAACAGCCCATTATGGATTTAACACACATGAGTACGTCCAAGCCTTTTTTTGAACCTGTTTACATTTTTAACTTAGCTTCTGAGAGTAATGAGTTACATCTGTTAAATTACCCACGGAATGAAGAAGTATTCCCCTTCAATTACCCAGGAAACTACAATAGTAAAATGTAATTCAGAAAATGAATATTCATGGACTCAACTGCTTAAAGGGGTCCTGGGGGCCCACAGCAGTTGCGTTTCCACCTTGCTGGGGCTCGAACTTGAAGCACGTGCTCAGCGAGGGGGTGTATAGGGAGTGGGTCATTTAGGTCCCTGTGAGGGGGTTTGCCCGCCCGGCCCGGCCTCTGCAGTGCAGCAGGTTGTATTGTTCTCTACTTGCCAGTAGTTTATTCTTGATAGATTCTACGAGAAAAGTTGAGGGAAGCCTGGGGTAAATGATTAGGTTGGGGTCTTGGGAGGTCTCTGTGGAAGTCGGGGTTGGGGGGGCTGGGTCTCTGTCGGCCTTCCAGGGGTGCCCCGTCCTGCCCCGCCTCTGACAGCAACATCTCAAGAGCCTGTGTTTGAAATAAAACTCTTCTCTTCCCTTCTTTCAGGAATACTTGGACCTCAGTCAGCCTCTTGAACCGTATTCACCTTGTTACCCTGACACAAGATGAAATAAAACGTCTCTCTTCCCTTCTTTCAGGAATACTTGGACCTCACTCAGCCTCTCGAACAGTATTCTCCTAGTTCCCCTGACACAAGGAGTTCTTGTTCTTCAGGAGATGACTCTGTTTTCTCTCCAGACCCCATGCCTTACGAACCATGCCTTCCTCAGTATCCACACAGAAACGGCAGTGTTAAAACATGAGTGAGCGTGTCTGCCTGTCCCCAAACAGGACAGCGCCAGGAACCGACCTACACTGAGCAGGGAGGCCACGCCTCCGAGAGCTTCTTGTCTCCGCTTGTATATATGGATCAGAGGAGTAAATAATTGGAAAAGTAATCGGCACATGTGTAAAGATGTATACAATTGAAAACTTGTAATCTTCACCAGGAGAAGAATGCTTCTGGATGGATGGACTGCCACAGGCCACCACGCGACCCCTCTGACCCGCCGCGGACACTGGCTGTGGACCAGTCGGACTCAAGGCAGACGCCCGTTCTGCCTTCCTTGTTAATTTTGTAATAATTGGAGAAAATATATGTCAGCACACATTTACAGAGCACAAATGCAGTATATAGGTGCTGGATGTATGTAAATATATTCAAATTATGTATAAATATATATTATATATTTACAAGGAATTATTTTTTGTATTGATTTTAAATGGATCTCCCAATGCATCTAGAAAATTGGTCTCCTTTTTTTTAATAGCTATTTGCTAAATGCTGTTCTTACACAGAATTTCTTAATTTTCACCGAGCAGAGGTGGAAAAATACTTTTGCTTTCAGGGAAAATGGTATAACATTAATTTATTAATGAATTGGTAATATACAAAACAATTAATCATTTATAGTTTTTTTTGTAATTTAAGTGGCATTTCTATGCAGGCAGCGCAGCAGACTAGTTAATCTATTGCTTGGACTTAACTAGTTATCAGATCCTTTGAGAAGAGAAATATTTACAATATATGACTAATTTGGGAAAAATGAAGTTTTGATTTATTTTTGTTTAAACTCTGCTGTCAGATGATTGTTCTTAACAGCCCCCAAATGCCCATAGTAAAAGGACCCGTTAATAGGAAGGTGTTTCATTTTGTATGCAGCTCTGTCATTGGGCCAATGCGACATTTAACTGGACTTCCCATGACAAATGGCACCAGTGTCCTCTTTAAAAGATGCCTTAATCCATTCCTAGAGGACAGGCTGGAGCTGAGATGACAGCGAGAGCACTTCTCCCCGGCGGCTGGCCTTCTACCCCTGGGTTGCACATTAATCAGATTAGCCTGTATTCTCCTCAGTGCATTTTGATAATGGCTTCCAGATTCCTTGGCATTAGAGAAGCGTTTTAGGATCTTCAAGTCCCATCATAGAGAAATGAAACACAAAGTTGTTCTGCTGATAATGTTGGGGGGATGCTTCCATTTTTTTTAAGGGATTGCTTCCATCTGATTTTGGTAGGACCTCACCCAAAGATCCTGCCTGATACCTACGCCAGACAAAACATCGCCGTTTAGTACATTCTGTATTAAAGTATTGTGTTTTGCTTTCGAAACACCCACTCACTTTGCTATAGCCATGCAACGTGAATGCAGATGACACTGATTTTACGTGTTACAAAATTGGAGAATATTTAATAAAACTTGTTAATTTTTATACTGACAATAAAAATGTTTCTACGGATATTAATGTTAACAAGACAAAATAAATGTCACGCAGCTTATTTTTTTAATACTCGTGTCCTACCAAATGGTTTCCTGTGCTCAGAGGTGTTGACTGGGTGCCGTTTGTGACTGTAGGGCAGGCAGATCTGGAATGGCGGGGGTGGCTGACTGCAGGGGGATTGGCCGAGACCAGCAGGACCTGGGACAGGTTGATCCCATGGAAAATCACAATTGGTTGGTCCAACCCCTCGCTGGGTTGCTTACTGGCACCTCAGGGGAGTCACTGTTCTTTTCTGAGCCCTCCTGCTCCCCAGAGGAGCAAATGAGGAACCACACGGGAGACAGCTTTGCCAGCAGAGAGGTGTCTTAAGGGCGAGAGGTGTTGAATAGGAGAGATGTTCGGACTATCTGGATTCTGGGGATCTTGAAACCTTTTAGACTGGTTTCCTCATCATGTACGGAGGGAAGGATTTGCTTCAAATTTTCCAAAAGAAAACTTGGATACATTTTAAAATAATTATTTATTTTCATCTCACCAAGCATCTGACGAGGGAAACGGAGATTTGCCTGTCAGTTAACAAATGCAAATCTATGATTCTTAAGGCTCCCTGCTGGCCGGTCTCATCAGCACCAGGAAAAGGGGACCAAAACAGGCCGTCTTCTGAACCTCAGCCATGCACTTAGAAACTCACGGGGCTGTAGGTAGTCAAGCAGTGCTGTCCTTGGGTCTTTGATGTGTTTGAGGCTGTCAGTGGTGCAGTGAGGTCTCCAGCCATCAGGAGAGTGGCCTCCAGTCCTAGTTCTGTGTTTGCCAACTCCCTGTGCTTCTGTTCCGTGTTATTAATAGTAGAATGGGGTTCTAATCCCACCAAAAGAATGTTATTAGAAAAATAGGGTACGTGGAGGGAAACTGCCTGAAAAGTGTCACCTGTTAAGCACAAGTGTACGCAGGTGTATTCAAAGCAAGGCTCTGAGTCTGTGCTGGTTCTTCTCTGCGAAGACCACAGTGCATATTCCTTACTTCAGAGACTGAAGGGCAGTTTATGGCCTTGACCATATAGATTATAATGGGAGTAAGAGCTGCTGTATCTCTTGCCCATTTCAGGGAGGTGAGTGGGCAAGAATCCTAAACTAGCTGTTGACTATTTTAGTTTTAGAATTATTTGGAAAGAGATGTTTGTCATGACGGGAAACAAGGGAGTATGGTGCATGAGGACAGGAAAGACAGTACCTTCCTTTTTCTGAGACCTGCCCCAAGTGACCATACACAGGCAGCTTGGTAAGCTTATGGCTTTGTAAGCTTATCCCTACCCCACAAGACCTAAGGAAAGCCTTGGGAATTGTCATGTGATTGTCATCAAGTCACGAGATCGGTTCATTTGTGAAGAACCAAAAGATGACAGACGCCTTGGATGGGTAGTGCCCTACTGGGCCCTGCTGTTTCCAACTGGGAAGGGCATATTCAAGAGGCTACTTTAAAAAATACAGCTGGTGGTGGTCTCTGGCAGGATGGGGAGGCCATAGAAGCAGGGTGGAGGAGTAGCACCTTCAGGGGAGTTTTGTGGCTTCTAAGTGAACAGGGTACCCCCATCCACCACTCGGCCTCTCCATCCCTCCCTGGGCTCCTCAGGGATCGTCTCTGCATCTGATCTTGTGGGAAGTTCCTTGGCCCCCACACAGGAAATTAAACATGCATTCACAGTAAAATGTAAACTTGAACAGCTGACTTGAACAGCTATGGATTGAGGACCCAGCCACCATTCTGAAAACAAGAAATCGGTCTGCCAGGTTGGACTGTGTAATTAAAGCTTTAGAAGGGCCGGGTCCAAAGGGCTCAGTTCGAGGTTCCTGAGGGTCATGGTTGGGAAATGGTCTAATGAAGCAGGACTGTAGTCTTGTGCATACAAGAGAAAGACGATGGGCTTGGCAGGATGGGATTGGTTTGTTTCTTTATAGCTGGGTGATGCTGAGCAAGTCACAGCTTCTGTCTGGACATGCAACTTCTCTACTAAAAGTGGCTCTCACCAGCCTCATGCTTACCATGAGAATTACCTGTAGGGGCTTAGCTCTGGCAGAAGGTACTCAATAAATGTTAGTTTTCCTCTTCCTGAAAAATTTTTTGGTACATTTCAGTAATGTTTTTAGTATATTCATAGTTTTGTGCAACCATCACCACTACTTCCAGAACATTTACATTACTCCAAAAAGAAATCCTTTTCCTGCTCGCAATCACTCTCCAGTCCCCTTCTCTCAGCCCCTGGCAACCACCGGTCTGCTCTCTGTCTATGGATTTGTCTGTTCTGGACATTTAATATAAATGGACTCAAACAATATATGGCCTTTTGTGCCCGTCTTCTTTCACTTAATATAATGTTTGCAAGGTTTATCCATATTGTAGCCTGTAACAGTACCTCGTTCCTCTGTATTGCCAAATCACATTCCATCATATGGATATTGTTTATTCATTCACCCATTGATGGGCATTTGGGTTGTTTTTACTTTTTGGCTATTATGAATAGTGCTGTTATGAACATTCATGTACTGTGTAAGTTTTTTTGTGGTCATATGTTTTCATTTCTCTTGGGTATATACCTAGGAGTGGAATTGTAGGGTCATATGGTCACCCTCTTCAACCAGACTGCTTTCCCCAAAGTTGCTGCACTCTGTTAAATTCCCACTAGCAATGCAGGAGGCTTCCAGTTTCTCCACATCCTTGCCAGCACTCATTATTGTTCATATTTTTTATTATAGCCATCCTAGTGGATGTGAAGTGTCTTCCTACGAATTTAATAGCTGAGGAGATAGATACCACTCAGATCATGGATCAAAGATACATTGTACCTAACTGGGCTTTCCAGGAAAAGATAACTTCCGCTAATCAGCCTGGCTTCTGCACTTACAAAATGGCGGAGATCGCTAAGATGCCTCAGTGGATCCTCATGGAGTGGAGAAGCTAAGAAACTTATTAATTCCGTCTCTTCTCTCTTGGCCGAGAGAGGAAGGAAGCACTGCCATGTGATGCAAAGAGATAGATTCTTTCTGGCTGCAGTTCTCAAGTACATCTCTACCTCACCTCCCTGGTTTTATACCAAATAAAGTCTAGCAAGCTGGGCCCTCCACGGGGACTGATGAATGCACCATTACTTATGTATGCACATTGGAGTCCTCTTTGTCCGCCTGCGTTTTGGTGTTATTTATATTTATTTTTGATGTGTTTAAAGATGAAAGCAAAGTGTATCTTCTCTCATATTTCATCCCCAGGAAGCCTGGAAAGGATTTGGCAGCCTACCCTGGGCAAGAACAGCAGAGGCCATTCACGTCTGGAGGGACATTCTGGAATGGGGCCCTTCTCGTGCTGCTTTTGCTCGGGGTTTCTGGGGGTTTTCAATGGGTTCCTCAAAATTGCCTTGAAGTCCTGACTCAGAGGGTCACTCGAGGTGCTGTAGAAGACAGTGGAAGGCAGGGTGGTCAGCGTCCCTCGGGAAACCATCCTCTCCGAACCTTTGCAATGACAGGCGGTGGATCCCCACCAACCTGCAAAGGGAAACCCGGGACATGAAGCAGTTCAGTGCAGAATTTAGCTTAAGATGCATATATGGTAAGTGATTTTTCCTTCTGTGGCTCAGAACACTGCCTCCTTCGAGGTCATGTCTTTTTAGGCTCCTTTTCCTCGTCTAATTCATTTATTGAGGGCACTTACCACGTTGCCTGCATGCTTTACAAATCAAAATCCATAGCGTGATACACTTGGAAGGGGAGAGAGGACACTGACAGATTTATAAATTAAAAATAAAGAAAGAAAAGTTTTTAGTCTGTAAATGGGCTGACAGATGATGCCTATCTCAAATGATGATTGAGTTCAATGAGATTTTACCTGGGAAGTACCAAACTGTGCCTGCTACATAACACTAGAATATTAGTTGCTCTCTCATGCTGTCTCTCTCGACAAGATGTAGATATGGACATAGATGTAGGTATTGAGACAAATGTAAAGATAAAATACATATGTGTTTATAAGATTGTCATTATTACTGAAGAAATTGTGAAATTGCTAGTCAGTTGTGGATACAATTAGGGCCACGAATGTCTCCTACCCACAATTTTAAACAAAAACTACTAAGTTTTAAGTCAATGAAAATTATCAGAATTTTTGAAAACGAGATTGTATTTATAACATTTAACTGTTATATTCTCCCTTTTAAATAAGCATTCACTTTAGAAACACTAGTCAGGCAATGAATGCCTAATACAATCTTTAGGGGACAATTCAATGCTTTTAGAACTGCTTGGACCAAGCTGGTCAATGGTTTTCAGTAGCACCGTCCAAAAGGCTGACTGGAACAGGAGCAAAAGTCCAGGAGGGTTTATTGCAAGGGAAGCGCTCTCTGGCTCCCAGTGTGGTGGTGTTACAAGCAAATCAACATGGGTACCACAATAAAGGGAAACATCACGTGGGAAAAGTGGAGGGGGCAGAGCTTCTCCACGTGTTACGATTGTGTGTTGCTCAGGAGCCGCTCCGCCGAATCTTTGGGAATTGTGAAATTAGCATAGGTCACCCGACAGGGTAGGAGAGGCTGAAATAAACTCACTGCGTTGTGCGGGGAGGGTCATCAGATCTCATCCCTGCAGGTGCATGCTGCAGGGGTGTACCTGGGAGAAGACAGCTGGAAGGTTTCCACAGGCTCAGGGCTGCCCTTTCAAATCGTTCTGCGACTTGACCTGCTGCCTCTTCTGAAAAGGGCTGTGTGCATCTCTGCACACACGATCACAGCAGGAGAGGAATTGGAAACCTAGCCTCCCTCCTGGCGTGGTCTGGACTCCCTGAGACTAGCCCTTGGGTTGCCTCTGGCTGTGGATTTAAGTTTCACCCAAATGCAGAAGTTCTTCCTTCGTGGCTGGCCATCACCCAGTAGCACCCAGAGCTATGAATGAAAAAGGCAAAGTCAAAACATCCGAGCACAATCTCACGCGTGGCATCACTGGGCTGAGGGGTATGGGCAGTGGGAGAGCTTGTGCTGCCGTTGCTTCGATCGGAGTGGACAGACTGTGGCCCACGGAGCAAACCTGG